ACTCGCCACGCCCCCTGGAACCTTCCTATCACTCCCAGCTCAGCCAGAACAGGGGGCTGGGTCCTTCCTTCCTCCTCGCGGGACTTGGGGGAGGAGTGACCCGGGCTCACTGGGGCCAGGCTGCCCCTCACGGCTTCTCCCTGCCCTCCCCCGACCCCCGGCTCTGACCACTGCTCTCACTGGCTTCTGCTTCCTCTGCAGCCCACCTGTCTCCAGCCCGCTCCCACCGGAGGCAGCTCCTCCCGCGCACCCGGCCCAGAAGCTCATGCCCCCTTCCCATCGGGCCTGAGGGGCACCAGGCTGGGCCGGCCGAGCGACTGGCCTCTCCCGGTCTGTCGTGGTCCTTGTCCTGGGTGCCCACGTCCAGGCCTTGAGTGAGGCCTGGTTCTGACTCAACCTCCAGAGCTCAGAGCCTGGCCCCTGGCCCTGGAGGACTGAGGGGTGGCCTCCCTTCTTCCTCTCAGGCTCTTGTCCTGGATGGTGTGGGTGGGTGGCCCTCAGGAGCCAGAGGGGACCCGCCAGCCCCCCTGCAGCCCCAGCTCCTTGGAGCTGGCTCCCTGGGGCCCAGCACTTCTTCCTGGGGAGAGGCCCAGCCTGTTGGTGCGCCCAGGTCACCCTGCGCTCAGGTCACCCGCCCCGTCTCATCAGAGGGAGAAAGGAAGCAGAAGCTACGCACATCACATCGTGGTTCTGGCACTGCCCTCTGGGGCTTGGCGGTGGCCCTGCTGAGGAGAAGGGCTCGTGGGGCGCCCGGCAGGGCTGCTGGCAGAGCGAGCTGAGCGCTTAGAAGGCGGGGAAGGTGCTCAGCCCTGAGATCGGGAGCAGATGGGGGGATGGGGTGCTGTGCCTCCCCTCACATCCTTTCTCTGAGTTCTCTGTCTGGCACCAGCCATCGGGCATGACCCCCATGGTCTGCTCACTCCTCAACCTCGATCTCTCCCTTCCTACTGAATCCACCCAGCGAGAGCCCAGAGAAGGGAGGGGAGAGGAGAGAGGTTAAAGGGATTAAAATCTTTTCGGAATCCCAGCTGTGCGTGCCTCTTTGGGGTGCCCACCGGCGGCCCCTACGACACCAGGCAAGTTCCTTCCTCATCCAGTTCCTCATCTCCTGTCTTTAAAACCCGGGGTTGGACTAGCTGGTTTCCACGGGGCCTCCAGCTCTACTCTGAGCCCAGAACATAAGCAGTACCACGCGGTCAGATGCAGGAGAGGTGACTCCAGGGGGGACTAGCCACAGCGGGATGGGTTTCTGACTGGGTCTTCTTGGAAGCCTGGAATGTGGGCTGGCGGAAAGTCAGTCCAGGAAAGGGGCCTGCGGGGGCAGAAGCAGGCTGGGGCGACCCCCAGTGAGTTCCACTGATGAGGAACCTGAGGCTTGGAGGGGCGAAGCGCCTTGTCCCGGGTTCCACAGCCAGTCGGTGACGGAGCTGCCACTCAGGCTCAGGTCTGGCTGCACTTTAGATACTGGGGACACATGGGGATTCCACTCAGGACTCTTCTCCGCAGAGAGTCCGACGTCACTGATCTTCACCTGGACCTGTCGGAGCAGGGGTGTGGTTGGAGCCTGTCATTCGCGGGCCCTGGTGTCCTCAGGGACCACCCTGTGGGTGTGACCACCTGCCTGGGTCAGCGCCCCGCGCCTCAGACTTGCTTGGCGTTATCTGTGGCAAGCAGGCTGGTGTGTGCCAATCTGTGGCCGTGGTCACAGGATGCGAGTGGGGCAGCCTGTGTCCCAGCACCAAGTCCTGGCGACCTTAGGCGTCCCCAGGCAGATCCCTCCACCCCGCTGAACTTTGCATCTCACCCGCACACCTGGTTGTGTGCACTGACCGCAGGTGCGGTGATGTTAAGGGATAGCCATTACTTTTGAGTTGTGTTAACGTATTGGGAATATGTCCTCACGTGGTTCTCATCCTTTAGAGATCATCCTGAAATAGTTATGAATGAAATGGCACAATGCATGAGATTTGTTTCACAATAGTGCTGCGGGGGGAGGTGGGGGAGCGCTTGATGAAACATGAATTGCTAACACTTGGCACCAGGTGACGAGTCCATAGAAGTTCATTACACTATTTCTCTCTGATTTTATGTGTTTGACATGTCCGTAATAAATGGGTGCTTACCTTAAAACGTTGAGAGTACATACAAATAGGGAACTGCACCAAGAAAGCACACAAAACAAAGCAAAAGCAGGGCGACCAGCAGCCATGGCTTCCCGGAGTCACCGATGGGGAAGGGCGGGAGGGTCTGGGGAGCTGTTCAGTTCAGCACCGCGGACAGCGACCCCGCGAGCTGTCCAGTTCAGCACCGCGGACAGTGACCCGCGGTCGCCTTTCAGCCGCTCAGCTGCCTCAGGGATGACAGAGGGCAGAGCACTTCCGGGCCCACTGTATTTAGGAAAGGGCTTTTCCG